TATATGAGAGAAGTGGTAGTAAATATTGGCAACAATATAATTAATCTTTGATTTTTGATTAAATTATTAATTTAATGTATAACTGTGTTGAATCATTTTTGTATTGTATCGTTACCAGCCTTAAATTTGCTTTCCCCACTTGTTTCCCCCTTTTGGACAGCAGTACTGTAGGCGCCATATCTGCCACCGTTGCCGCCGCCGTACCTAACGGGCGGTGCAAACACACAACAGTGCCATAAATTCAAACGCCTATTTGATGATGATAAATAAAAATTAATAATGCTTATTATTGCTAACTACAATAAATATTTATAAAATTTTTGTAATTACTAAACCGTAATAATGAATCTCATATTTAAGATCTCATTGGAATGCAGTGGAGGTGCTATTTCGCGGTTTTATTAATATTTATAAAAATGTTTGACTGTTCTACACCCAAATTAAATTAAAATTTATTCAAAATGTATAAATAAAATATAGCAATATATTAAACACACAGTTTATTAGTAATTTTTAAATGTTTAAATATGATAGAACTCATTTGTACTGATTTAAAACTGGATCGATTTTTTGAACCCAATGTTGTAGTTTAAGATTAAATGAACAAAAACTGTTATATAGTTTAATAAGTTAAAATTACATACAACAAATAATTTAATTTAATACATTTGGGAATGTCACAGATGAAGATTTTAATATATAATTTTAAGCTTAAATATAATAAATATTTTATAAACAATTCCTACACATTAAATTGTGCATTTTAAAAAAATAGTTATTAAACCAAAATTAAAATAAAATTTTAAAACTAAATTATGTAACATAATTTATGTTTAATTTTGTAAAAATAATTTGCCTTTATATTTTAACAAATAAAATTTGATTTTAATAATTATATACATTTAATATTTAAATAAAATTAAATGGTTTAATTTTAACAATTGCTGTACTCTTAAATTGAATGAATTGAATGGTAAAATTTATAAGAAACAAAATTATGTTTATTTAATTTCACTTACTCATATTTTATAACAAACTTATATTGTTTAATCGACTGATAATGTAACAACTGCAAATTTTATAACTATCTAAACTAACTAGATAATTAACTAAACTTTAGATAATTATTTATAATAAGAAACAAGTAATTAATTATAACAATATTATAAAAACTTGAATTATGTAAAATTTTATTCTAATCACTCATATTTTATAACAAACTTATATTGTTAAATATACTGATCAGGTAATAAATGCAAATTTTATAACAAATAATAATCAAACTTTCATATCATATACATTCACATGTCATCTACCCACACACATACCCGCCTCCTTCTTAGCCCGCCTCGGGGTAAGCAAAAAACATAGCAAATCGATTTGACCCAAAATTTTCTGTGTTGTGGTCACGTGATTTCAATAATATTTTGCCACAAAAAACTTAACATATGGAACTCTATTTTACTTTTTACAGATTTGATCTAGCTCGTTTAGTTTAGGAGATAATCGATTTTTATAAGCGTCAATACTTTTTGAACGATTAGATATCTACATAGACGTTTGTTAATTGTACATAAAAATATATTTAATATGGGATTCCAAACTTTTCACTGTTGTATAATTTAATTATTAAGTTATTAAACTATTTAAAGATTTTTTAAAATAATGTTAAACAACATATTTCTATTTGTTTAAAAAAATGTCGCAATAAAACATTGTTTACTGTAACGTAGTCATTAGTATTAAGACAAAATTCTGTACTTCTTGATAAAAAAATAATATTGATATGCTACACGGCTCAGTTGGTCTTTATTATTAAACACAATTATTTAAAATCAAAAGTGGTCAATACATTAAATTGATTTTACAAGACACGGATAAATGGTTAGAAAATAAATGTCGCATTCAAAATATTTATTTTAATGAAGAGTTTAAAATTATGCTACATTATGTATATGATTTTGCTGTAAGATATTATATTTTTGTCCAAAAATCTGCTTTTTAAAATTTTAAGCGTAATTGCTATAATCCACATGTCAAAAGTGTCGTATACTATATAAAACTAATATATTTGTCGTGGACTATAAATTGTTGTCATCATAAAATTGAGTTAATTTCAGATTAAATTTTCAAGACCAATCAACTACTAAAATCCACCATAGAATTACCACTAATTAATTTGCCAATTATTCTAATAATTGGTTTAAACTACAATAAGATTAAATTACGAATCAATTATAATTTATCATTGTGAAAATTGCATATCCTCACAATTTTTATTAAACTGCTACTTATTTAGCTTTCATAGAAATACTTTTGACTCATTCCTACATCTATTATGTTGATCAGGAGCACGCAAAATCACGCAAAAGTTAGGCTTTGCCTCTATGCTCCCATAGAAAATACATTACAGTTTACCCTCGTTTACCCACTTTTACCCGCCCAGCGTGCCTATGATGTTGATAATTATGAATTGTAGTGTGTATATATATAGGTTCTATAACAATATTTGCACAAAAAACAATTTAAAGTCCAAACTAGTTAATTGTTTTGCAGTTATCTGTTGTTCGTGGTGGTCTTGGCTGTCATATATAAATTTGCGTGATTTTATAATAAATTATCCATATTAAGTATCTAACTTACCAACAAAATTGAAAGGTATTTATAACAACATTTTTTTAAAATATTTATAATAAATAATTAAATAATATTTTATAATACTATATTGTATTACTAATGTATAAAACAGTTTAATATAATAGTAGTATATTTTTGGTCATTTCTATGGAAACGTTAAGTAATTGTCAATTAATTTTATAATTAGGATGACAACAATTTATGTATTCAAATGGGTAACCAATTTGATAAAGTTTGTTATTGAGTATGTTTTACTGCAATATTAACAAAACATAGGATAGTATCAGTTCCTTTGAAGCACAAACCGTAACATTAAGCGCTATCATGTTGGCGCCCCAATAATGATTACTGTAAATGTTTTAACGAAAAGTTATAATACATGAAAATAATTTAATTACATTATGCAAATTATATTAATTTGACAAGAACGTAATTTTCTTGAGATTTCAGTAATTAAATAATTGATAATAATCAGAATTAGAACTAAAAATTTAATATTTGTCATGTCAAGGAGTGATCAAATAGGCTTAAAAGCTAGACTGGCAACACTATGCCCCATAGAAAATACATTATACAATGCCCTCCAATGCTCAATTATGTATTCTTTGCTCTCCTATGGTTATGTCTATTACTTTTTTAAGACTATGTGCTTCAATAATAATAATAGTAATATTAATAATCAAATTGTTTTCAGTTTGTCATACAATATAATTGTAATTAATTCACTGGTTATATTATAAACAATGGCTCATGCATATAATCGTGAGTTTATCGTAATTAATTAACTTTATCAAAAACTAGTAATATATAAATGAATATTTTAAAGTAATTTAATTATCTCTCATAGAGACTCAATATAGATCGCCAGGTGTTTGGAAGTCGGGCTCTAATGGTCAAGTTCCGAGCGGTAATCCCATTATAGGGGGTAAAGATATTAATGGTGAAACATTATATATTGGCAGAGCGGTCCATATGGGAGATACCATTCCAGGAAAGGTACTATTCTTTAAACAGCAATATATATACATTTAACAGTTAATTGTGTTAATTCAAAAGAAAAAATGTCAGTATATTTGTGACTATTTTTAAACTAAAAATTATTGAGTAAAATGTAGAGAGGAGGGAATTATCTCCGAGGTAAATGGCCAACCTTATTGATATTGGTATGAAAATGTGCAGAATAGTTACCAGATGTTAAAATCCATGTCAAAATCGACAAATGGCCAGAGACGTTCGTGTACTGGTCAATTTTCAAATCACGAGTCTATTGCTTATAGCATTGCATTCATGTGATCAACCATTCATTGTGTGAATCACCTTTTTTCAATGCTATAAGCAATAGACGCGTGATTTGAAAATTAACCAATACTCGAACGTCTCTGACCATTTGCCGATTTTGACATGGATTTTGACATCTGGTAACTATTCTACACATTTTCATACCAATATCAATAGGGATTCCCTCGGAGATAATTCCCTCCTGAGTATTTCTTAAGTAAAATGTGATTCACTTAATATATAAGAATATCCATTGTATTATAAATTTGGCCTACTTTATGTTAAATTATGCCAAAGGTGTGACAGTAAAATATTGTTTATATGACTACTAAATTACAGTTTTATGAATTAAATGATAATATAATTATCTAAAAATTTTTAATTGTGCTTACAATGATATTGATTTGTTTTCTAAACAGGTGGTGCCCTCGCATGGTGTCTGTTATGTGTCGTATAATGGTAGCGAACACAAGTACCGAAATTACCAGGTGTTAACTAACCCGAGTAACGCCAACTTGGTGTGGTTACAGGGTGCCAACGGTAATGTACCGTCAGGTGCCGTTCAGGGTGGCCAACAAAGCGACGGCCAAAAATTGTACATCGGTCGTGCCAACTTTTCGGGTTCGCTCGTGGTGGGAAAGGTTCACCCAAACAACCAGAGCCTATATGTGCCCTTCGATGGCAAAGAGATTCCGTTTAAGCGGTACGACGTCCTATGCTGTAGAGATGTTAGCCAATAGTTAATTGAATTTATTGGTATAACTTATTTTATTGTTGATCTTTATTATTGTATTAATCATTTGATTAAACATAAATAATCTTAACAATAAACATTAGCAAATGCATTGATTTTTGATTTTCTATTTGATTTGCATTAACTCTAAAACATTTATACATTTTATCCATTTGATGTTTTATTTACAAACCAATTAATAAGACTATAATTAAAATATTAGTAAAAGTATTTTATTATATATTTTGTGATATCTATGGAATTATTATTGTCTAACATTCGTTGAATAAAATAGTTTACAGAATAAAATACTTAAAATTTTAATGTTAAAATAAATTACATATAAAATTAATTAAAGTAAATTTCTTTGGTCACTTCAAACAATTCAATTTCAGGCCTCTGTTTATAACGTTATTCGCTATCCATTAAATCTTCTTCCATACGGTTTAATGTCTGAAAAATACAAACAAATTAATTATGAAATAATATAAGTTAAATAATCACTGAAAACAACACAAACCATAACAAACATCTCAATCAGACTTTTATACGCCGAGTACTGCGCTATTGTATGACTCAGTGTTTGACCGAATTGACTAGCGCAACCAATTTGACCATGCTCTTTATCAGAACTATGCCACATGGGATGTCCTGGTTAAATAACATTTAATTAAAATATACTAATTATGACATATAAGGTATATATTACCCTCAAGACACGCATATAATACGTGCGTATTTTTACTATCGTTGCCAATAAATTGTGGGTCAAGCATAGTCAATTTATCGACAAGTGGCGGTTCATTTACGCCCAACAAACGAACATTACGTTTTGGACAATTACCACGTTTATCAACAATCGTGTCGTACTTATCAATCGATACCTCTATTCCAATAATAAATATTGATTTAATTTAATAATGTTACATAAAGTTATTTAAAGCTTACTTAAACGATCGCAGTTGATAATAAACACCTTTGTCTTTTGGCGCAATGCGGGCGCACGAGTCCAGCCAAATGTGGCCACTATTTCACTGAAGGCCATACAATCGCCCGCCGGTGGCGGCCATTCGTTCTCTGTATCGGGTCTCCAGCCAATGATCTGCTCGTTATATCCATCGCCGATAAACATCATGATAAACGCGTCACCATGGTAACTGTCTGTAGTGGCCACCGAGGTCAATTTAGTCTTAATCTGATCCATATTGAGTAGCGCGTGAACCTCTGTGTCAAATAGTAATTGTGTGAAAATTGACCTGAATCGTTCGGCCTCTGACACAAGTTTATTTATGGTCACTACTATAATAGCCCGACCCCTTGGGTTGGCCAGCATTTTGAACTCATTTAATGTGTTCTGCGGTAGGGTTGGTGATGTTTGGACATTAAGGTAAATTTCGCCTGAATATGGCCATGGTGGTTCACATTCACCGAGTTGTTTGTTTGCGCATTGAATGCTCTTATAGTTTGCCTGTTGTGAGTCTACAGATACAGCATTTTGTTGTTTAAGTATTTGTTTGAAAATATTATAAATAATTTTAAAATTAGTTAATTTTGCGTTAAATATAGGAATTCGCCACAGAATTGCACTTTTCATCCGTGAGATTATATTAGCGTTTATTTGGTTTGCATTTTCACCAAAAATCTCATTGAATTCATTTATTATATCCTTTATATCTTGTGTTCTCTCTTCTGATCCCTCGAGTAATTGATTAATAAATTCTTGAATTTTATCGACATTTACACCAAAGGTATCCAAAATATATGACTTGTAATAATTGTTTTTATTGACATTTCTATAAATATATATAAAGTTTTATAAATAAAAAATATAATTAAAATATATTTAATAGAATTTAATACTTACTTATTTAATACTTGTTTTAATTGTATTTCAAACAAATTGTTGGCAATTCCTCCGAAATCACTTAAAATGTTGTCATTTAAAAGTGTTGAACACGTCTTAAAAAGCATTTGATAATTATTTAAGTATAATTTCATATAGTTTTCTCGCACTTTGTTATCATTCACAAGGAATATTTGTTTAGCATTAAGCGAAAAGTTTCCAATATTTATATCCAAAGCAATCAATCCTTGAATACAATATAATAATTGTCTCAACAATTGCTGTGAAATAAGGAAATCAATTGAAATGATTGCCAACGAGTGATGGGTTTGTGTCCCGAATATCACGTGCTTTGCATTTATGACATCCCATAGAGTTTGCGAACAATACTCGGATTGAATGTAAATATTTTTACGTTGGATCCAAGAATTATTGATTTGTAGTAAATATTTAGGTTTTAATGCAAATATTTTTCTAATATTTTCTACAATTTCATTAATATTATTCTTATCTAAAAAAAAATAAAATAAAAATTTTGAATTATAACAAAAAAACTTTATAATAATTTAATGATTACCATATTCATTAGATTTGCTTATATAATAAAACTTATTGTGTAAAATATTATTGAATTTTATAAACGTTCTAGCGGCTGTCCTCCAATGAAGCTGACCATGCAATTTAATTGTTTGCACAATATCTATAATATTGTAATAATTTTAAGTCAAATAAAATATGCTAAAATATATTAGTTACCAGTTTTGTCTTCACATGTTTGGCAAATAACTCGATTATAGTGAAGGCTATAATAATCTGTAAATAGTTTAAATTTATTTTCATCTAGATCATTAAATAGCAATTCATTTTTCTCGACAATCGGTTCAAACGTTAATTGTTTTAATTCGTGTAAAATTACTACACATTCGGGCCGTTGTTTCCATATATCCTTAATCTCTTCACAATTCTCTGTATATATACTAACACTCATTGACAGCAATAATGTGTACATTTGAACCATTTTTAAGCGCAGATTAAAGTTATCAATGCTTTCGAAATCAAAATCAAATCTAATAATATAAATATATTTTAATAGTAATATAATTGAATTTATATAATAACATACACTCCATCTCTGATATTGTTTGAACTAAAGCCAAATATTTTCGCTCCAATGAGTGCCAGACTATAGACATCTATTAAATGATTGTATTCAGTGGTCTGTCCTTCGGGTGCCATATAATTAACATTGTCTATAAAATCAGCGGTATTTTCAACACTACTTTGATTGTATCGATCATTCAATACATGCAAAGATTTAGACAAACCAAAGTCACATAACTTTATATAATTATAATATATATCAATCAACACATTATCGGGTTTGAGGTCTCTGTGAGTGATATTATTTTTATGAAAATACTCCACACTTTCAACCAATTGTCTGAACAAATCATATGATATATAAAATTCAAAATCAGTCATTAGTTTTCCAAATAATTTTCTTTTAGCCTTTAAAACGTCCGATAAATTTGCGGCCAAATAATCCATAATAATATATAAACAGTTGTATTGAATCCATGAATAGTAGTAATGAATTACATATTTTGAGCGCAATTTTATCAAATTTTGTGTTTCATTTAGAATATTTTGTTTTTGTTTTTCTGTCATGCCTAAAATTTTTAAATAAAATGAGTTGTGAGTATTATGTAATTAAACAAATTATTCTAAAAATATTACGATTTAATGGACATTTTTTCATCGCATAAACCATGTGTTTATCGTTTTTATCCCTCACTTCATATACACATCCAAAATAACCCGATCCTAACTTTTTCAATACTTCATACATTTCTATGTTATTTATTCCTGTATTAAAGTCTAGTATAATTTTTAACATTAATTAAATATTTATTTTAACAATTATTTTCATTGTCTTACCGTTAGGTTGCGTTGTGTTTATTGATTGAACAGAATTATTATATTTTGTTAAATCAATAGTTTTATAAGTCATGTCATATTCAATAGCGAAGTAATATTCAAATGTTTTATACTTTGTTTCAATAAATACTTCCTTATATTCGTACACATAATCATCGGTTAATCCAACAATAAATCTAGATCGATCAAGATCAGTAAACATTAAGTTATTTATCATAATCATTTTCTCATTTTGCAAATCATATTTGTTAACATGTTTATCATGTGACAACATTATTATATCAGATACACTGCGCGTATATGCAATTCTTATATTAATTGCATTAGGTAATAATTTTGGTGTAATTGTTCCTGTGTAATATTTGCTAATATTTTCAAACTTAAACACCTGTCCATTGAAAGTGATGGCAATTGTCTCGATATCGCACATAATGTCCACAATTTTATAGTCAACGAGAAATTGTATTTCAATTGGTTTTAGTGTTTTTATTAAATTATATCTCCATTGAAATACCCGACCATCGGATGTCAATGCAGTAGCTATTGGTTTAAAACATGATATTTTCTCAATACGTATATCATGTGAATTATTAATTAATATTTTATGCGGTTTATTATACATGATTCCATTGGGAGAGTTATGTTTACCCCAACCGTATAGTCGCTGATTGCTATCTAAAGCCAATATAAAATCCATACCAATGAAAAATTGTTGTATATTTTTATGACTTAATTTCTGCACTTCTTTCGGTGTATGTAGGGGCGGTTGTGTCCGAAACCCAACACTCCCTCACCATTAGTGCCCAACCCATAGACCTGACCATTGGTTGTCACAAACAATATGTTTTTATTTCTCTTGAAGTGGTCATCAAAAATATGAAATAATTTGATTTGTTGTCTCCTGTTTTGGGAAAGTTGTGCACAAACTGTAAACTCATTTAAAAGCTCAGACATTATTATTATACGTAAATTCACAATATTATCAAAAACACAAATTATTATATTTTTACTTTTATTTTAACCAAACAAATCAATTATTTAATATTAAGTAAACTTTTATTTAATATTTAATTATAATAAAATTAAACCACATTGTTAATACAACGAGTATATGGTTGAGGGGGTTTTGGTATGAAGTTAATATTGATAATTATTAAAAACACTTAAGAACATACAATTTGGGAATGATTACAAAATTATATGCAAATTCAAAGTACCATAAACTTTATATTAATAATCTATGTACATAGTGCGCATATTTTGAAATGAGTTGAATGAGCTACATGTATGTCAATCATTAATATTGTATGGCTTTTATGATACACTTTACGGCACTTAACACAAATAAATTTATCACCGTGTTTCTCAACTAGACATTCATCAAGATCACACTTCAATGAATTGTATGGTTTAACATAAGAATGAGCAATGTTTGTAAAATAAGTTTCAATAGAATCTTGATTAATTATCATCGAGGTGAGTTCCGCAAAAGTAGGCATTTCATTAATTTCCAACTCCAATTGAGCGTCACCATGGTTAATATCATTCTCATCGACCAGCGATTTAATATAAGCCCTTACATTTGCTATATTATCAATATTACGCAAAAATATGCCTTCCGTTAAACAGTTGACATTCAATATGACTGAATCACCGCATGTATAGCCAGTCCTATAAAATTTTAAAATACTTTTTAAATATGCTAATGTTAATTTTAATTTTACGTTTGTTGGTATGCGTCTGTTGCAATAATTAATTTTAATTCATCGAGTTTGATATTTATTTGAGCTGATCTGTAAATTATGTGAGTTATTTGCAATAGAGCGTAAAATGCAAATCTATAATCATGAATGGTTCTTGATGTTAACAGGCTATCCATCAAGGTGATTTGTTTTGAATATAGATCAATGATTGCTACATAATAATGATTTTTGATGGGATGATAAACGAATTGACCAAATATTGGTATTATGATGATTTGTTTATTTAAACATTTTTTAATTAGAATTTCGCTGTTCAAAATATTATAATTTATAAATTACTTATATAATCAAGATTACCGTGATATTTAACTTACTCATATATTGGCTCTATCTCTTTATTAAACACATGTTGAATGCATTCCATACGTAAAACACAAAATGAGCATAATAATTTATATTTATTAATAATTGCCCATAGTGCATCATGTAATAAAAAACTTGATAAAAATTCTTTATCATTTAGTGTACAAAAGTGACCAGTATATTTTTGATTATTATTTTGTAATTTGATAGTTTGCCATGGTGACTTATTATATGAATATATTGCGCTACTATTAATTTTTGTGTTTAAAATTATAAATTCGTTTCGTTTAAAAAGTAGTGGCTTAATAATATTTGAAAATATTAAATGGTTTTGATTAGTTTGTTCATATTCAATAA